TTGCAGTGACATTTGAGGGTTTCTAGAATCAGTTTACTAAAGCCATACCCAGCAGCACCACATGACGTTAATGGAAGAGTGCAGGTTCTCTGAATATTTCAGCAACTGTACTGGATAGATGTTACCCACAAACAACAAGCATTAAAAACAGTGTCACATTATCATAAAAAAAACATTAATACTGCTTTTCAAGTACATCTTTTGTAGCATTAAAATCAGCAGGTCTTTTTGTACTGCTGAAGCTTGTATGGAGTCATCTAGACCATCCTGAGATCAGGCTTTGTCTGTGTTTTCTAGAAATACACAAGGAATGAAGAATGGCTCGAAATTGTTTGCTATGCTGTGTCCATGGTCACGAGGCAGTATTTGCAACTCTAATGTATATTTTAAGATTAGGGGGAAAAGGTAAATTCTCAAAAACGGTGCTGCACATGTCAAATCACATTTTAGTTAAGTTTAGTTAGGTCTGGCCTTATCATGTGGATCTCGTTAAACATTGGATCCAAATAAAATATCCTTTGGCAGTCGGACACGTGGGCATCATTTCCAGAATGCGATACAAGGTTTAACAGTATTTCAAAAAGACTATATTGCCAGAAGTGCAGTTTTTATATTTTATTGACAAATATCAGTACAATACTGCTCCATTTTAACTTCTTTTTGCAGGGGTTTTGTTAAGGCGTGTACATGAATAGAAGTTTGTTTACTTGTTTCACGGAAAACCGCGCCATCTTCTGGTGTAATTCTGGTGTAATCGTATTTTTATCCTCTGCTATCATTCAAAGCAGTAAATGTTTGATATATTTTAGTTGCATCAGCTGTTGTGTTGATAATAAAATTAAAGTTTTTGTCAAACGGTCTCCTAGACTATTTTTATTCATAATATATAGCTGTAAAACATGAAAAAATCAAGCTATCGTAATACAGTTCGTGTGCATACCTTATGAATGTGAAGTCTCGCGATAATCCAATTTGCGGACTAGTTATTCAACTTTGTTTCTCGCGATATTTATTTACAGCAGTTGTGCGTTTGATAACAGCGCACCGTTTGACTGCCAAACATGTGACGTCATTAACTAGCGTTGGCGTCCAGTCTACCGTGAATCAACGCTTCCAGTTTCTCTCGTTCTTCCTTAGAAATCCAGTTAGTGTAAACAGCCAGCAGACAAACCTGATCCGTCCCTCTCTCCTACAAGGTAAGCCTTTGTTTTCATGCCGGCTATTTTGTTTCAACAGTTTAATGAATTTTAGAGTAACAGAGGCTAAACACATGACATGATTATATATGTATTATTTAACTATTTGAAACTCTTTAAAATCTAACTACATTTTGTATATATATATCAATGCGCTGCAAAGTGAGGTCCCCTCAGCGTCTGTCTACAACTGGTGTGGTTTATGCGTTTTTTCATATATAAATACTGTTAATAACTAATAATTTCCTGCAGAAAAATAACTTAGTGGAGTTATTGTCACAAAGAAAGAGAAAACAGTAAAACCAGAGACATAAAACACGAAGTACTGCTAATTTTCTTAAATACTATGTTTATTTTGTTTACAGACTTTCTTATTATTATGATATAGGCGGGTTTGCTTCATGCATTGTTAACTATTGCTGACTAATGGTGACTAGAGCTAAAGTAGTTTTGTAAGACAGAATACTGCCTGCAGATTTCCACTGAACTCTGGTCAGCCAGCTACAACATAGCAGAGAGTTATGCAACTATTTCCATCTCTCTTCATTCCTATCTGATTCTTAGGGACCTTTATCTAATCTTATTTACCTTGCAGTTTATTGCAGTGGTCCTCAAAAGATACTCTTTAGTTTTACTGAGAAGAAAATATATATAATTAAGTTAAATATATAGGGCCTAAAGCATGAACAGTTAAAAAAAAGTTGTTTTTGATTAAAAACAATTACAGATTGTTTCAGTGCTGAATATTTTGAGGATGCCAGTGAGCTATGTGTGGGTGGAACTACAGGCATGTCAGAATAAATTTGAATATTATTGAAATTGAATCTGTTTTAGGGATTGAATGTGTATGTATTCATCACACAGACACTTTTAAGATATTTTCTTTGGCTTATTTCCTGTAATGGTTATTGAAAACCCAAATGAAGCCTCGGAACATCAGAACCATAACACATAATTACAAAAAACAAAACAAAAAAGAGATGTATGAGATAGAATTGTCATATAATGAATCTTGTCTCCCAAACAACCACATTAAGTTATTTAGAAAAAAATCCTTAAGGTTCATAAAAGATCATTGAAAACAGGCTGTGTTTTCGTGAAGCATATTCGTAAAAAGTTGAGTGGAAGAAAAAAGTTTCTTATCTGCTTTAAGGGGAAAATGTAAGGAGCTGTTGTCCAAAGTCCTCTTTTCAGATTAGAGTAAACTTACATGTTAGTTGGAATTTAACGTAAAGCTAAAGTTAAAGTCTGGAAAGAGACAAAAGCTGCCTGGGTTTTGATTGGCTAGCAAGCNTATGCGTAATTGCACACATGACAGCGGTTATTGTCGCAAGAAGGAGACATCGAAATGAAGCAAGGAGACGCAGAGAACGCATTTTTTCACTCCGTGTGAATATTTTTGGAATGAACGAGGAAACGATCATCAAAACATTTTGTTAATCCAGCATTCACTCTTGTTAAATCACCCGCAAACCATGGTTCAGCCCCTTGCGCAAAATTCCAGTTTGGGAGCGCAAATGCACTCAAAATTGGAGCTTGATAAATCTGGCCCATAGAGTATGTTCAAAACAAACTGAATAAGTATTTTGTCTTGACTGGTAAATAAGTAACAGTGATGATTCTGCTAATGATCATGCAAGGACAGTTGGAGATGCTTCTTGCCTCTCACAAGACCCGTACTGGTATAATGGGAGAGGAGGAGTAAGATCACAAAAATAGAATGTCAAAATAATTTTGGATGAGATTAGTATTTGGGTGGTGCAGTGAGATCGGCACTGCTGCCTTGCAGCAAGAAGGTTCTGGGTTCGATTCCAGGCATGAGGTCTTTTTGCATGGAGTTTGTATGTTCTCCCTCAGCATGCATGGGTTTTCTCGGGGTACTCTGGCTTCCTCCCACAGTCCAAAAACATGAGTGTTAGGTTAATTGGCTTCTCTAAAAATTCTCCTTAGGTGTGAGTGTGTGGAATGGTTGTTTGTCTCTGTGTTGCCCTGCGATGGACTGGAGACCTGTCCCGGGTGTACCCCGCCTCTCGCCCGTAGACAGCTGGAGATAGGCACCAGCACCCCTCGCGTCCCTACTTGGGATTAAGCGTGTCAGAAGATGGATGGAAATGCAAAGATTTTATTTGAAAAAAGGAATCCTTTCAGTGTTTATATGCTATTTTTGAAAAATAAAAGAACTAATGGGCAATAAAAGAATACAGGCAGCCTTTCTTGAGTTACTGTAGTTTAAAGCTGTATTACATTGACACAGTGTGGCAAGCACCCTCAGAAAGGTTAGCTAAATATCTTCACAAATGGCATGTGTGTATACGCAGATTATCAAATAGTTAAAAACTCTTCCCAACCCAAACATAAAAAAGAAGTAATTTGGATTTTACAATCATACAAACTCTGGTTCAGCATGGCTGTGTGGTGGTTAGCACTTTCGCCTCACAGGGAGATGGTTCTTCATTTAAATCCTGTAAATCCTGGCTGGAACATTTTTGTGTGGAGTTTTCATGTTCTCTGCTGTATCTGAGTGACTATAACATGCATTTTTGGGATTTAAGCATGCCCCAACTAAAATATATTTCTTAAAAATAATTATGAGTTGGATCGAATGCTTTAACCTAGATTAGTTTATCTAGTCTGTGTCAAGCAAGTACTTTTCAAGTCATGGGCCACATTCAAATTCTAGTTCACTTCTCTTTTTTATAAACCACACATTTTCTTAAAATTCAAAAAGTCTTCAGGATAATTACTTATCTGATGTTTTGCAGTGACATTTGAGGGTTTCTAGAATCAGTTTACTAAAGCCATACCCAGCAGCACCACATGACGTTAATGGAAGAGTGCAGGTTCTCTGAATATTTCAGCAACTGTACTGGATAGATGTTACCCACAAACAACAAGCATTAAAAACAGTGTCACATTATCATAAAAAAAACATTAATACTGCTTTTCAAGTACATCTTTTGTAGCATTAAAATCAGCAGGTCTTTTTGTACTGCTGAAGCTTGTATGGAGTCATCTAGACCATCCTGAGATCAGGCTTTGTCTTTGTTTTCTAGAAATACACAAGGAATGAAGAATGGCTCGAAATTGTTTGCTATGCTGTGTCCATGGTCACGAGGCAGTATTTGCAACTCTAATGTATATTTTAAGATTAGGGGGAAAAGGTAAATTCTCAAAAACGGTGCTGCACATGTCAAATCACATTTTAGTTAAGTTTAGTTAGGTCTGGCCTTATCATGTGGATCTCGTTAAACATTGGATCCAAATAAAATATCCTTTGGCAGTCGGACACGTGGGCATCATTTCCAGAATGCGATACAAGGTTTAACAGTATTTCAAAAAGACTATATTGCCAGAAGTGCAGTTTTTATATTTTATTGACAAATATCAGTACAATACTGCTCCATTTTAACTTCTTTTTGCAGGGGTTTTGTTAAGGCGTGTACATGAATAGAAGTTTGTTTACTTGTTTCACGGAAAACAGCGCCATCTTCTGGTGTAATTCTGGTGTAATCGTATTTTTATCCTCTGCTATCATTCAAAGCAGTAAATGTTTGATATATTTTAGTTGCATCAGCTGTTGTGTTGATAATAAAATTAAAGTTTTTGTCAAACGGTCTCCTAGACTATTTTTATTCATAATATATAGCTGTAAAACATGAAAAAATCAAGCTATCGTAATACAGTTCGTGTGCATACCTTATGAATGTGAAGTCTCGCGATAATCCAATTTGCGGACTAGTTATTCAACTTTGTTTCTCGCGATATTTATTTACAGCAGTTGTGCGTTTGATAACAGCGCACCGTTTGACTGCCAAACATGTGACGTCATTAACTAGCGTTGGCGTCCAGTCTACCGTGAATCAACGCTTCCAGTTTCTCTCGTTCTTCCTTAGAAATCCAGTTAGTGTAAACAGCCAGCAGACAAACCTGATCCGTCCCTCTCTCCTACAAGGTAAGCCTTTGTTTTCATGCCGGCTATTTTGTTTCAACAGTTTAATGAATTTTAGAGTAACAGAGGCTTAACACATGACATGATTATATATGTATTATTTAACTATTTGAAACTCTTTAAAATCTAACTACATTTTGTATATATATATCAATGCGCTGCAAAGTGAGGTCCCCTCAGCGTCTGTCTACAACTGGTGTGGTTTATGCGTTTTTTCATATATAAATACTGTTAATAACTAATAATTTCCTGCAGAAAAATAACTTAGTGGAGTTATTGTCACAAAGAAAGAGAAAACAGTAAAACCAGAGACATAAAACACGAAGTACTGCTAATTTTCTTAAATACTATGTTTATTTTGTTTACAGACTTTCTTATTATTATGATATAGGCGGGTTTGCTTCATGCATTGTTAACTATTGCTGACTAATGGTGACTAGAGCTAAAGTAGTTTTGTAAGACAGAATACTGCCTGCAGATTTCCACTGAACTCTGGTCAGCCAGCTACAACATAGCAGAGAGTTATGCAACTATTTCCATCTCTCTTCATTCCTATCTGATTCTTAGGGACCTTTATCTAATCTTATTTACCTTGCAGTTTATTGCAGTGGTCCTCAAAAGATACTCTTTAGTTTTACTGAGAAGAAAATATATATAATTAAGTTAAATATATAGGGCCTAAAGCATGAACAGTTAAAAAAAAGTTGTTTTTGATTAAAAACAATTACAGATTGTTTCAGTGCTGAATATTTTGAGGATGCCAGTGAGCTATGTGTGGGTGGAACTACAGGCATGTCAGAATAAATTTGAATATTATTGAAATTGAATCTGTTTTAGGGATTGAATGTGTATGTATTCATCACACAGACACTTTTAAGATATTTTCTTTGGCTTATTTCCTGTAATGGTTATTGAAAACCCAAATGAAGCCTCGGAACATCAGAACCATAACACATAATTACAAAAAACAAAACAAAAAAGAGATGTATGAGATAGAATTGTCATATAATGAATCTTGTCTCCCAAACAACCACATTAAGTTATTTAGAAAAAAATCCTTAAGGTTCATAAAAGATCATTGAAAACAGGCTGTGTTTTCGTGAAGCATATTCGTAAAAAGTTGAGTGGAAGAAAAAAGTTTCTTATCTGCTTTAAGGGGAAAATGTAAGGAGCTGTTGTCCAAAGTCCTCTTTTCAGATTAGAGTAAACTTACATGTTAGTTGGAATTTAACGTAAAGCTAAAGTTAAAGTCTGGAAAGAGACAAAAGCTGCCTGGGTTTTGATTGGCTAGCAAGCTGACCTGACCTAAACCCATAGATGCATTTTCAAAAGTCTGTTTGCAGCTGTATAAATAAACCTTTTTCTTTAATCATAATTTACAAATAACACATTTTTGTAATATTAATACTTTGATGCCATTTATCTAGCATTTTTGGTGCACTTTTATAGGATATATATATGTTTCTAGCTTTCATTGTCATTACACTGTCATATATATATATATATATATGTTTCTAGCTTTCATTGTCATTACACTGTCACAAGTACAGAGCAACGAAATTAACTCTCTGCATTTAACCCATTCATCCCCAATTGATGGGTTAAATGCAAGGGAATAGTGGACCACCATCCTGGGGAGCAGTGTCGGGTTAAGGGTCTTTGCTCAGGGACTCAGGGTGGCAGTCTGTGGGTGTGGGGCTTGAACTCAGAACCTCTGCATTCCTAGCGCAATGCCCTAACCACTAGGCCGCCACTCCTCTTTTTGCCTTTATTTCATAACATAATATGCCCTGTTTGGCTCTTCAGGGTCGGACAAGTTGCCAAGGTGTTGTCCAAAAACCTCAGAGCCAATGATGCAGAAAAGCTTAAGGCTGCTATCAAATCAACCTGAGCTTCCTGATCACCTCATCAGAGCCAGAAGCTGATCGCCTCCATGCTCAACACATTTATGCCTTAATATATGCTATTAAGTTCAAACTCTGTACAGTACATCTTTTCAGTAAGGTGAAATGTATGTACTAGTTGTTCAGTTTGTGACCTAAAATAAATAAAGTCATTTTAGTTCATGTAGATGCACCTGTATTTATCCTTACTCCACATTACTTCTGAGGTCAGAACTTGGATCTTGTTATAACATCAGTTGCAATCTAACGGTGGTATCGTTGCAGCCTGAAAATATTTGGAAGGGCTTCGTTAATTTTGAGTCAATAGCAAATCATTTCTTCCCTTCCCTAATTCATATGCTCATTTTACATGTGAGCTTTATTTTTTATTGGTAATTTAAAGATCTTTAGGATGTTTTATATCACCATATTCCAATTTAATTTGTTTCAGATGCCTGTTTAAAATACTGATTGTATTGCTTAGCAATCTGGCTAACTACTGTTAGATCATGTTGTTCGTAGCTTAACAGTTAAGCATCACTTTGATTATAACACAGGCTTTACAGTACTTTAGCTGATTTGAATGAATGTATAAAAGGGTTGGTCTAAAAAAAAAAAAAAAAACTTGTTTAATACAGCAGCAGGTACGAGTGGCAGCCATATTGGATTTTGAGGTTGGCTTTGAGTTGGAATGCATCAGGCTTCATGTTTGAAGTTTGACATTTTGATAGCTCAGTATAAATAAGATTAATCCACATCCCTAAATTAAGTAAAAAATGTCCAAGAATAAATGTTGTTTGTTTTTTTTTCAATACTTTTGACTAAACAATATTCCTAAATACCGGTATTAGAGTCAAGTTCCTTTTACCGTTCTTATGCACTGAGTTGGTTCTTTTCAGAAAATGTTTAGAACGTATGACGATCCACCCCCTCCACAGGTCAAGATGTCCCTCTCTGGCTGGGTGTGTGTGGTCACTGGTGCCTCCAGGGGAATCGGCAGGGGAATAGCGCTCCAGCTTTCAGAGGCCGGAGCTACCATTTACATCACAGGACGGCAAGAGAAGACCCTGAAACAAACTGCTGCAGAGGTAAAACTTAAACCGTTTTTTTTTTTTTTTCAAGTGAATTCAAAAGGTATTCTTCCAAAAGTGTTTTGCAAAACACTTGACCATTCTTTGTTTTTTTTGTTTTCCTTTTTCCTTTTTTACAATGTAGGTGACTGAGAGAGGTGGAAAGTGTATTCCAGTGATCTGTGATTCCACCAAGGATGAAGACATTAAGGCCCTTTTTGAAAGGATCCAACAAGAGCAGGATGGCAGACTGGACATCTTGGTGAACAATGCCTATGCTGGAGTTAAGGTTTGCATTATAAAAACAAATAGAGACTGCTTTAGGTGCATTATTGATTTTTGAAGTAAGACTAATTTGTGTTTCCTTAATTATAAGGAAAGAGAGGAAGCAGGGATTCATGCAGGATGTTTTGCCTCATTAAAATTGTAATTGCAGGATATCTTTGATAACATGGGGAAGAAGTTCTGGGAAACGGATCCATCTATCTGGGATTCTATCAACAACACAGGCCTGAGGTACTGTTAGCCTTTCAACTATCTAAATCACAATTTCCTTTCAATGCCTTATTATTTCCCTTACGATCAGTTGAAGTTGTTTTATATTAAGTTTTAGTTCACCTATTTAGTGAATTAAAGTTTGAAATAAAAATTTAATTGCCAGCTATACCGACATATTATTGTTCTGTTTTGTTGTTGTTTTTTTAGGGGGCACTACTTTTTCTCCGTTTATGGGTCCCGCTTAATGGTGGCTCAAGGTCGGGGTTTAATAGTGACCATTTCCTCTATGGGTGGGCTGCGCTACTTCTTCAATGTGCCATACGGGGTTGGTAAAGCAGCTGTGAGTTCTTCCAATGATTTACTTTCCCATCCAGTTTGATTTCATTATCAACACTTGCTAAAAGTCCTGTCAAAGTCAATAAAAAGAATCCCGCTTTGTTTTCTTTTTTGTGTTTCCAGTGTGACAGGCTGGCAGCCGACATGGCGGTTGAGCTGAAGAGCCGGGGAGTGACTTCCATCAGCCTGTGGCCGGGACCGGTACAAACAGAGCTTGTGTCACAGTTGGTAATCCAGAAGGATGCAACACAGGGTTTGGACTCCAAGGTCGGCTACTGTTAAACAGCAAATCTGTTTTTAAAAGCAACCAGCTGAATCCTAATTTTTGGCTTTGTTTTTTTTTTTTTTCCCTTAGTTTAAGGACGTATTTTCCAACGGGGAAACCACAGAACTAAGCGGAAAGTGCATTGTCAGCCTTGCTAATGGTAAACAATGAAATTAGTTATTATCTCACCAATGTTATGCCTTAATGTTGCATTCAACATTTGGAATGTGTTTTTTCTATCAACAGTCTTGAAAACAAAATCAAGACATGTGATAAAAATGTCCACCTTTCAACTTAACATATATTGTGCACAATTATTCTGAAAAGCATACACTTTTAAAGGTATAGTGGAGAGTTTCACAAAATTTGGAAAAGACCTGCCCTCTTCTCTTAAAAAAAAATAAAATGCACATGCACAACCCTGTATTTGCACCCGAGAAAGAACGCTTATTAAACACGTGCGAGATCATGCACGAGCCCATTTCTCCTCATGCACGCTCTGTTTAAGAGTTGCTGCTTGCATCGCTCATACAAGCTCACTTTCCAAAAGAACATTTGCAATTTTTCCACTATGTCAGACTCACCATGGGTAAGTGAAAATGGGGAGGATGGCCTTACGTAAACATATCACCAGAATGATTGACAATTAGGAGGACCACTTATTTCGATGATCTACCCGGAAAAAGAACATCCTCTACTATGCCTTTAAGAGTGAAATATGAGAAATTAAGGTAAAACTTTTATTTTTACATTTGAGTTTTCTCCAAAGCAAAAAAAGCAAGCCACAAAGGAAGAAAGGTGGGGAAAAAAATCAACAGGATTA